TCTTCATCCATTTCCAAAACTACAAAATCCACAGGTATCACAAATTTCCCAACTCGTAGGGGAACATCTTCTACCTTACCCTTAGGAAATTTGATCGAACGATCAGCTAACTGTAGGGTAATGTTGGTAGGAAGAAGTTCTCCTACCCCTAATCTTTGATATACAGAATATGGCATAAGACTAACACTAGCCCCAAGATCACATAATGCATTATCAATTTTCATTTTATTAATAGCACAAGGGATTGAGAAATTACCTGGGTCTCCCAATTTGGGAGGCATCTTGTTCATGATGATTGCACTACAATTCGCGGTGAGGTTAACAGTTTCCACCCCATCACAATTCCTCCTGCCACTCAAAATATCTTTCAAAAACCTAGCATAGTTAGGCATTTGTTTTATAGCGTCGGTGAATGGTATGGAAAGGTGAATTTGCTTCAAAGTATCTAAAAACTTACCGAATTGAACATCCAACTTATGTCTCACAAACTTATGGGGGCAAGGAAGTTTTTGCAATAGATTGGGTTCTTTGACTTGTGTTACTTCCTTTTCATTTAGGACCTCTACAGTTTTATCATTCTCTCCGGTCCTCTCCTCCTCACTCTCTGTAACAGTATCAGTGGTAGGTGTAGTCACAGATTGACTCCTAGGGGGTACTACTTCATCGCTCCCCCTCAATGTCTTTCCACTCTTAGTGGTGATAACATTTACAGAGTTTTTAGGGTCAATACCTTGAGGTGGGAGTTTTGACACTCCAACCCCATCCTTTATAGCACTAGCCAACTGAGAAATCTGGGTTTCAAGCATTTTATTATGTGTCATCACTTCATTAAACTTTTTATCACTGGTGGCCATGAAAGTGTTGAACATTTTGGTCTGTGCTTCCATCATCTCCTCCAAACTAGTCCTTTGCGATGGTCCTTGAGCATTGTAGTTGTCATTAGAGGCTCGGGAGCCACGCGCATTAGACTGTTGGGGATTTTGATTTTGGAAGTTGTTCCTGTTACCATTGTTATTCCAATTTCCCCTGTTATTGGCATTCATGTTCTGATTGTATTGCCCTTGATTACCTGCATTTTGTTGGTAATTATTCTGATTACCAAAATTACCATGTTGATTATAAGACCCTTGGGGATTTTGGTCCCTTTGGTTCCTGTTTCCCCACTGGTTTTGCTGTTGGTAGTCAGAATTATTACCCTGTTGATTATAATTGTTCCCTCTTTGATTAGGTGGTAAATATCTGTTATTGTCATTCCTAGGTCTATTATCATAAGACAAGGCATTGACTTGTTCATTATCACACTCATTACCATCATTATAGTTGGATTGAAATTGGGAATCTACGTTACAGGCAGAGGTATCATGGTCATAAGACCCACAGTTTTCACAGAATATACATCCAGCTGGCATATTATTAGAGTTAGAGTGCATACCTGCTCCCTTAGAATAGGATGGAAGATTTTGATGCGGTGGAGCGTTGAGCTTCTCCTTGATAATTGACATTTCCTTACCTAGATTTACAATTTGCGATGTCAAATTCCCGATTGCATTAAGATGGTCTACCGAATAGACCGCTCCTCCACTCTTGCTCGTGGCCTCTCGCTCTCCATCTTTCCAATCCATGTGGTGTCGTACCACATCTTCTATGATATCAATGACTTCTTCTTCGGTTTTGTTCATAATGGGGCCACCTGCTCCCGCATCCAAACTGGTCTTCCCTTGAGGACTCAATCCTCCATAGAAAATCTGTAAAACTTGATATGTTGGGATTCCGTGGTGTGGGCACTCTCTTTGATACTCCTTGTACCTTTCCCATGCTTCGTAGATTGACTCCCCACTCCTTTGCCGAAATCCCTGGATCAAAGCTCTAGCATCGGCCGTCTTCTTTTGGGAATAAAATCTTCCCAAGAATGCTGTCGTGACATCATCCCAAGTGTGCAGAGAGTTCGGCTTCACCTCCTTCTCTAACCATTCGAGAGCTCTCCCAATAAGTGAAAAGGGGAAAAGCTTCAATCTCACGAACTCTTGATTCACCCCATTAACCTTGATGGTATTGCAGTACTTCTCAAATTCGTTCAAATGAGCCAAAGGGCTCTCATGCTTGGCACCACTAAACTGCCTTCTCTCGATGAGGGTGATCATAGCCGGCCGGATCTCGAAATCATTGGCCTCAGTAGTGGGTGGGGCAATCCCACTTGAAGCTCTATACGCCCCAGGAGTTCCCAACTCCTTAAGGGGTCGTGGTGCTGGCCGATTGGGTTGGCGCGATATGTCTGCCATTGGAACCTGTTGTGTGTTGTGTTCCTTTCCTTGAGAGTTTGATGACGTCAATCGAGATTTACGATTTCTCTTCAAAGTTCTTTCGATTTCTGGATCGAAGGGTATTAATTCTCTCTGTTTAGACCTGCGCATACACACTAACCAAACCAATTAAATAGCAGGGCTACAAGTGTAGCCAAAAGGGAAAAATCTTTTTGTGCTTTTTTTATGATGAACTAGACTCAAGAAATAAAAAAGCAATTAACAAACACCGTTCCCCGGCAACGGCGCCATTTTGACAAGGGTTAAATCGGTCGCTACAATCTAACTCTCAATCAAACAATACTTATACGAACACCCTATAACCAAGTACAATGGCAAATAAAGGTTCGGTCCACGAGGAACGAGAGTAATTGCAAATCAATCTTAAACCTAAGCTAGTTCGAAATCAATGGAAAATGGTGTTCTAAAATAATACTAATAAGATGGAATAAATCAATAAACTAAGACACTAGGGAGAACGGGAATCCGCCTAACCATTGGCAACTAAGCAACAAGGAATCACAGAGACAAACGGGATATGCAAAGACTATAAGTCTGATCAATATCATGTGATAGGAAGACAACGGGCAATACTAAGCTTGGATTTCTCATGCACTTAACATTACTCGATACATAATCAAACCACATTCAATAATGAAATACTCAATTCACAATCTCTTGTTCAAATCAAGGATATCATGCAATCAAATTCAAGATTCTAGGTTAGCTACTCCTATTATAATGAATTAACATGCAATCGCGTATAATCAATTTAATCACAATCCATTTATCAAAATCAATCCTCAATTACATAGGTTACCTAGGCCGGGTTTCATCCCGAAACCCTAGCTAGGAGACTACTCACACATATTCATAATCAAAGCAATAATGAATTCCAAAAGCATAATAGATATAAACATGAATTCTGATTAAGGAATAATAAAGCTTGATTAATAAACAAGAATGAATAATACCAATTGTATTGATGCGAATCAATGGAAAAGTTCAGAACTTTGATATCCGTCGTCAATGAATAATACAAAGAATCTTCGCAAATCTTGCTTCAAATCAATCCAAGAAAACTAAAATCTCTAGAAATATCTCTAAGAAAACTAATGAATCTCTAATACTAAGAACGTTCTCCAATAACTCTCTACAAAGGCTCTCAAAACTATCTCTAAAACTGTCTCTGGAATCCTCTTAAAGTCGGGCCTTATATACGTCTTCTAATTCGGAGAAGTCAAGCGCGCAGTTAACCCTGGATCAGCACGGTCGTGCTGTATTTGGCACGCCCGTGCTAGCTTGTCAGTAAGTAAACCAGATTTCTTCTTCAAATTGGCACGGCCGTGCAGCTTCCTGGCACGGCCGTGCTAAAAATGACACGGCCGTGCTGAATATGCTCTAGCACGGGGCTCATACTGAAGCTGACACGGGCACGGGCAACATCTGGCACGGCCGTGCTAATGGCCTGCACGGCCGTGCTAGTGCGTGGATACTGACACGGCCGTGCTATTGGCTTGCACGGCCGTGCTGCCTTGCCTGGGGTTGCTTGCTTATAGGCCAGCACGGGTGTGCCTATGGTAACACGGCCGTGCTGCCTGTGCTATGTAATCAATGCACGGCACTTGAACTTCCTTAACTCCTCGGACTCCGGTCAAGGCTAGCTCGGTTACGCATCAAGGGCTCGGGATCCGATTAAACTCGGTTGATATTACCTGAAAACACATCAAAAACAAACCGAAAACCCGTGAAGCACGTAATATGGGGAACGTAAGCATAACAAGGTAATAATCGGCCAAAGCGGCCCCAAATACATCCAAAATCATCCTAAAATATGCTCTAAAGCGCGCCCTAAAGTGCGCTTGTCAGATTGTCAAAGTTCCATGGAGCGCCATCCAAAATCTTCTCTTTGTCACACCAATGAAAGAATTGAATGAAAAATAGGTTATTCTCAATTTTCCTAAACACAACGTTCCTCTTCAACGCCCAAATCTGTTTCGAAGTCTTTTGAAGGGCTTCAAAATTGTACGATCTCATTACAGTCAGCAATTTTCCTACCAACGAGAGAGCAATTTTGCTTTATTGATCCTCCAAATTTGAAGGTCCTAGGTCCGCAATATCCTCCTTGTACTTTGTAATTTTCAAATTCGACCACTTTGCAAGAATTTCATTCGCAATCACGACCCACAACCACCCCGCAATAGGGGAGTTAGGCTTGAACACGCAAGAGAACCAACACTCTAACCTCCGCACGACAAGAAACCCTAGCCTACAGAGTGAGACTCCTTTAAATAACCCACTCTTTTTAATGTTTTTTTAATCCTTGTATTTTCTTTATTTCACAACTAAAAAAAAAAAGGATGAACTTTATTTATTTATTTTTGTAACATGTTAAGAAAATGGGGCAAGCCCGAACCCGAACCAAACACCCTCCACAGCTCCACCTTGCAAACTTAGATGTTTGTCCTCACTCAAACAGTCAACAGTGTTCTGTTCACTTCTACTATCTTGTACGGAGTTCAAAATTAAAAGATTAGAATAATCATCGAACTGTTGAAGTCACATTCTGTCCTAAATTCTACCATCTCATTTTTTATGTTTGTTTTTGTTTGTACTTCACTCCATTACTCTCATTCCTCTCAAATTACGCCTTTTTCAACAACACTCTCATTTTTTGTGAGTACTCCCTGTTTTACTTCTTTCTCACTTACTCCTATGTTTTTCCATTTTTATCATTGTTCATAAATTACATTCCTCCCTTTTTTTTTTAGTGTTAAGAGTACTTGCAACTGTTTAATTTTCATGTTCATTTTCTGTTTATTGTGACATTTTTAGCATTTTTAGTATATTTCACTCAAATTCTTCATCTGTTCGTATAGATCTATATTGTGTTGGTAATAAATTATATAATTATTTGTTGAGTGTTCAGTTTACTTGCAAATTTGCAATGCTAGTTGTAATTATGCCTTTAATTTGCTGAATACTGTACTCTTTCTTTGATAATTTTTAGTTAACTTGTTAAGATTCAAATTTGCATTAGCCTTTCAAATTCTTGTTTTAGGTGCTTATTTCTTAATTTGCCTTTTTTGATTTTTCGAATTCTTGTTTCAGGTGCTCAATTTTTTTTTTTTATTTTTTTTTTTTAAATTTTTAATTTTAATTTATTATTATCTATATTCATATATTTTTGTGAGTCTAGTTTGATAAATTTCATTGTTAAAAGTATTCCTATACGAAGTAAGTAGGATTGCCTTTTGAACTTATTTATGTTATTGTGCTATGCAACTCACTGAATTTTGTTTGTTATGCATTTAGCTATTACTCCGTAATGATTATTTTTTAAATTTATTGGATTTGTATCCTTATGTTGCCATCATCATGACATTGATTTTGCATTTCTTGTGATATTGGAAATAATCTAATTAACAATCACTATAATTGTCATCTTTGTGTTGTTTAGACCAGTTCGACTTTATGTAATTAACCTACTACAGTAGTGTAATCGAGCAATGGTTTTGGGTACAAGGAACAAGTATAGGACGGGTCCTAGTATTCAGGTTGATTATGTGATTCATATCCAAGATATTAAGCCTTGGCCTCCAACACAATCACTAAAAACTGTCCGTTCTGTCTTGATACAATGGGAAAACGGTGATCGCAATTCTGGGTCTACTAGCTCTGTGGTTCCTTCAATCGAGGATGGAAAGATTTTAATCAACGAATCGTTTAGAGTTCCTGTCACTTTGTCAAGAGATTTATCGGTTAAAAGTGGTGATGTAGATATGTTTCACAAGAACTTGTTAGAATTCAACTTGTATGAACCTCGCAGGGATAAGACGGTAAAAGGACAGTTGCTTGGTACTGCAATTGTGGACTTGGCAGACTATGGTGTTATTAAAGAGGTAATGAGCTTAAGTGTTCCCATAAATTGTACCCGGAGCTTCAGGAACACAGCACAACCAATTTTACACTTTAGAATCCAGGCATATGATAAGGTTCGCTCAGGTGTATCCTTGAGAGGTAGATTAGCCAAAGAAACATCACTTGATAAGGATGAAGGGGACTCAATCTCGGCACTAATTAGTGAGGAGTATGCTGATGAAGCTGAGGTTGCTTCCTTTACTGATGATGATATTTCGTCACACTCTTCACTTACTGCTTTATCTGCTCTTGAATCAAATGGAGCTTTACCTTCACAAAATGAGGTACTTTTCTCTAAATTTGGTAGTATATTTGTGTTTCCTTATTAATGTCTATGGCTGAATGTTCATCTGCTTGATTGCAATCTTTCTTTACTCCATTTTATTTTTCTAATATAGTCTTTCCTGTATTTCCAATCTTTGTAGTTGTAGTTAAGTTTAAGATACCTGTTTATGCTATGTGGCTTTTCTCTCATACATATGATGTAAGAACTTGAGTTATCTTAATTCTTAAAGACATATGAAATGTTAGGTTGAGAGTGGAGGAAAGTTTTGGGGAATGGAATAGGAATTATGTGAAGCATATCGTCCTATCTATTTTTTTTCTGTTGGAAAATGTTTGCTGTGGCTTTTTGCTGTGCTTGTGGGATGGTAGCTAATTGATTTTTATCATACAATTTTATATACTATTTTTTATTTACTCATCTTTCTTCCTCTTTCACAGACTGGCTCGAAGAGGGGAGAATCCCATACAGGTATGCAATGAAAAACAATGCTGTGCCTACAAAACTGACGCATAGTATCAGAGTCAAATTATGAATCATGCATTAATTGCGGAAGTTGTGAAAATCTGATTTATTCTTCCTCTAATCCTATGTTTACAAAAATCTTATAACCAGGGGAAGCCATATAATGTATCTTCTTTTTTGTCAGACACCTCTGAATTGGACTCAGAGTTGAACTTGGAAAAGTTATCTTCTGCATCACACCAAGTGCATGAAACCAGTAAAAAGTTTGCAGTAGAGGTTGATGGTCTTAAAGGTCAAACTCTTGCTATCTCAACAACAAATAAATCTCCACCTATATCTACTGCTAAAGGAATTCCAGTTGAAGTACCTGCGAAGCTCAAGTCTGAACATGATTATCAAATACAAGCCACTAGAGAAAGTGTGCAAAATTCGAAGATTCCAGAAAGAAAATTTTGTATTGAGGTTGTGCCTACAGTTGATTTTGATGGTGTGGAGGTCAAAGATAGAGACAAGAACGAGAAAAATGATCAGGCAGGGGGAATGCTGGAAGTGGAAAAACATATATTAGGAGATGCATCATACAATAAGCTCTCACTGGATGCAACTAAAAAACAAGTCTTGTCTGGAAGTGAGTCACTTCTCGTTAGGGATAGAGTTAGGCATGTGAGATCTGTTAGATCCTCAACGGAATCTTCTAGAGGCAGCGGCCCCACAGGAGGCTTTTCTGGAAATATTCTGAGACAGGAATCCAATCCAGCTGAAAAAGTATGTACCTCTTCTGATAGTAAACTCCAGGGACTGGGACAAAGGATAGAAATACTGGAGAGAGAGTTGAGAGAAGCTGCTGCGCTTGAGGTTTCTCTTTATTCAGTGGTTGCTGAGCATGGAAGTTCCATTAATAAGGTTCATGCGCCAGCAAGGCGCCTTTCTAGACTGTATATTCAAGCTGGTACAGGAATCAAGAGAGCCAGTGCAGCCCAAACTGCAGTTTCAGGATTAATTGTTGTGGCAAAAGCTTGTGGAAATGATGTTCCAAGGTACGTTTACGTGACATTCTATTCTGCATATCTTAAAAACATAGCTTTTTCAAAAATTACATGAGGCAATAAAGCAAGTACTTTGTGAACATCAATTAATTTTTAAGGTGCCTAATATAAAATGCAAAATGCAATAGCACAAGGGTACTGCCTAGAATTTCCCTAAAAGATTCACGACTGAAAAATCATAACTTATGATTGTTATGAACTATATCAATGTAACTAGATTCATGACTGAAAAATCCTTACATCTTGTTGTGAAGTTATAAGTCAATCGAGAGTTGAAGATTTTTGACCCTCCTACCTTTTGTTAGATTGCAGTCTCATTAGGGTCATGTGATCGTTGCACAGATATTGTTTGCTGTGGTTGTAAGCCTTATTAGGCTTGGTATACTTGTGTGGGGTGATGATGTGAGCACCAATGCACCATAAAAATTCTCACTAGTCGGTTTATGTAATAGACTAACCTTAGGAGAGGAAATTTGGGAAGTCTAGTATTATTAGGTTAATGGTCTTTAGCTTTAGTATATATAGAGATGGATGGAGAAAGTAGAAGGTAGGCGGAGTTTTGGAGTAAATCATTAGAGAGTTGTGACCTCAAGTCACTAATTTGAGGGTGGTGACCTATATTCACTAATAGAGATTGGCATCCTAAAGTTGCTAGCTATTACAAACTTCTGCTTTCCAATATTTTTAATCAAAGATTTGATCCTTTTCCCTCTGTACTCTGTTAATGCTGTGGGTGATGGTCCAGCAAGCATGAGTCTATCAAAGTTAAAAATGTTGGCTCAAGTGAACCTTCTATGGTCGTATGACACACATCCAGTCGGAGAAATATATGCACCTTAGACTCCTATTAATCTAATTATACTTTTACAATGAGTAAATTTGAAAGCATGTCACTACTAGTCAGATTGGGCTGCAGTTTCTGGTCTAAATTTCTTTTAGATGATGCAATCTATCAATTTTCTTATAAAAGTGTTTCCAACGTATGTTATTCATTATGTAGGGCATTTTTCTTTTCTTGGAACTTATCTGTAGTTTTGCACTCTCTTGAATGCAGGTTGACCTTCTGGCTGTCAAATTGTGTTGTTTTCCGAGCGATTCTCACCGAGGCCTTTTCAGAAGAACAACTTCCAGTATCTGCCAGCTCTTTAGCTGATATCAGAGTTAAAAAGGGAATAGATCAGAAATCAACAGTACTAAAGTGGAAGGTTTCTTCTTCTGACAAGCAAGCTAACAAGTTTGATGTATATGGAAGTTCCCAAGATTGGGTTGATCCACATGTATTCATGTCCGCATTAGAAAAAGTTGAATCTTGGATCTTTTCACGAGTTGTAGAATCTGTTTGGTGGCAGGTCCTTTTCTGTTCACCCCTTTCTTTCTCTCTCTTTTCCTCGTACTCTTGTGACTAATGTTTTTCAAGAGAGTTGACCAGATTGAGTTCTTTTTTATCAGACTTTGACTCCACACATGCAGTCTTCAGCTGCTCAGATGATTGAAAATGAAGTGGATTCTGGCTTTCAGAACAAGTATAGGAGGTCATCCTCTTCTAGTGATGAAGAGCAAGTCAACTTCTCATTAGAACTTTGGAAGAAGGCTTTCAAGGATGCTAGTGAGAGGCTTTGTCCTCTCCGAGCTGGAGGTCATGAATGTGGCTGCTTGCCAGTGCTGGCCAAATTGGTTAGTTTATCTGCTTCAATCTTAATTTCCAATGAAGACTGAAAATAGTTTGTCTCGCTGGGATGTGCTTGTAGTTTATTTGGATGTTGTCATACCTACTTTGGTACTACCTTTGTTTCAATTCATGCTTCATTTTGATATTCACGTGTCAATGTTCAACTTTAACATCTCTATATAAATATTTGTTCACTTTTTTTTTTTTTTTTTTTTTTTTTTTTTTTTTTTTTTTTTTAAAAAAAAAAAACCTTGATATTTGAAAACATTAAATTGAAATAACCAAACCAACAACTGATAAATATCTATATAAAGTTGCTGGTTGATAAAATTGTTAATAGATCTTCAACAAGAAGTTAATTATCCTATGAATTTATATTGCAATAACAAGTCAGCAATATGTATACCTAAAAAATTCTATGCTTCATGCATGAACTAAGCATGTGGAATTACATTATCACTATGTACGAGGAAAGGTGTTGCGTGACGAGATAAACATTGGAACCTATCATTCAGAAAATTAAGTGGTACACATATTCACCAAGGGTTTAAGTGGAACCAAGTTTGAAGAATCACAAAAGAAGCTTGGTTTAATCTCAATGGCATCAATAAAAGAAAGTTATTGATGAGGGGGAATTTTAAAAATAAAACACCGATAACTATTTCTCCACTAGCTAATTATAGTAAATCTAAATACTCAACAAACCATATGCAATTAAATTTGTTAAGTAGAAAATTAGGAATGATATTTGCAATTTTTAGATTCTTATTTTGTTCTCATTGTTGATTATACGTAGAACAGTGCATTTCTAGTGCGGCGCACCATGCGGCGGGGTGCCGAATCAGCAAATGACAAAGTAACTCCACCAACCTAGTAACCCCTCCAACCTAGTGACCCCTAACCGGACCTAGTGACCCCTAACCGGACCAAGTGACCCCTAACCGGACCAAGTAACCCCTAACCTTACCAAGTAACCCCTCTAGTAACCCCTTAAGTCACCCCTCCGACTTAGTAACCCCTCAAGTAACCCCTCCAACTATCATGAAGTTTTAGGATAAGGAGTTGAACGGACTACAATATTATATAAGTGAGGTTTGTTGGGAAGTATGACAAATTTGAGTAATGCATATTGGGTATGCAAAACCTACTTTCAAGAAACCCTTTGCTTATAAGGGTGAGACAAGTAAGCTGAATGCCAAAAATCGACATGGAAACTTGTTTAATAAGAACATTCAACTTAAGGCGAGCATCTTGCAATTAGTCTCTAGGCACAAAAGCCCTATGTATATGTTCTACAGTTCTTAAAGTTCTCATATCACAAAGAAGCATGCTTTTTCAATTTAATGACGATCAATTTACACCTTTTTTCATCATTATACCCCTTGCAATCAAACATGTCCTCCATACTTCTAACCCTATTAAATTAAGAACTTCATTAGGGTCGAGATTACCCTAGGAAGGTCCTACATGATGTCTTGGCTATATGGTTGTCCTCACTCCATCTGGGGGAGCGGCCGCTCCAGAGGGTCTTGAGATTTCTTAGGGGAGCGGGTGCTCCACCCTAGAGGAGCAGGCGCTCCTATTAAAGTGAGAGGTCACTCCTCTCTACTGTTGAAAATGTGTAATTTTGCCTCGCGCTCCTCAAGGGGGTGTGCGGCCGCTCCTTGCAATTGATCCGACTCTCATAATAGATTTCATGCTCCACTCTTCCACTACTCCAAAGCATTCCGAGGTTCAAGCGAAGCTTCAACACTCATACATAAATATAAGCAAGATAGTGGAGGGATTAAAATAAGGGAAGAAAAAGGGATGAAAACACCCAAAATCGCGTAGTATTAGCTATAAGCTACTATGAGAGGGAAAGTAAGCAAATTACATCAAAACTAGGAGAATAAAGGGAAAAAGGAACGAGAAAGGGCTTTAAGAGAGGGGAGAAAGGGTCATAAAAGTGGTCATAAAGCCCACTTATCAAATGTAAAGCTTTTCGTGCTTGAAAAGATAAGAGGCTGGCTGAGAAGAAAGCTACTACAGGGTTATACTGGATTACAAAAGACAAATGTTTTGCTAATGACTATCACTTAAATTTAGACTCCATCACCAAATGTACTTCAAAAGCTCAAAGTTCAAAGTCTTTAGCCCCAACCGGATTTGGAAATTCACCCTTTACCCTATTCAAGTTCTTTTTCCGAAAGAAGTCCCTCTACGATCGACAAGTCCCTCTGCGACCGACAAGTCAATGGGTCAATAACTCATCCTAGTTCCTCTTTTTGTAGACTTTTAATATTAGGATTGTTTTAAAACCTTGTTGGTACCACGTCAGTACCATCTAAGCTAATAATAGCACTATCCTAATAGTTTTATTTTTAGTCGGAAGGACCAAGGTAATCACCAATTTATCTTTATAGTGTCATAGTAGATGCCAATAGATATAGTGACTTAAAAAGCCCCTTCCTGTTTGAATCATGAACCTCTTAAGGAAGACCTTTGCTCTAAATACTATGGCAGCCTTAACAGTGGATATTCCTGCCTGGCTTTTCTTCTGCCATGGACATTGCAGTGTACATTACCATCTTTTTTCTGTGATCTGTTATACCTAACATTCAATGTCCAAAGTAATTATTAAACTCTGTATGCAACTTCATAATAGTACTCTTGTCAGGTGATGAAATTGCAGTTTGGAACCTTTAAAATGCAAAATGTTCACATTCCAACGGGGTTTGACTTTCTCACCCATCAATGAAATATCATCGAGTTATTATGTGGCACTGTTCATATTATCCTAAAGACATAAAGTGAAAATATAAGACCTTACATGGCAGAGAGGAAATGGATGTTTATCTGTTTATAAGTCATCCTACTACAAGCCCTTGTCCCCTCATTCATGTATAGTGCGAGTGATGCTCTTCTCCGGTTCTCCCCCACCCCTTTTATCCAACACTTTAAATATTCTTTAATAAAATTGTCAGCAGAGTCTTTAGTTTCAAGTCTTTATCGTTTCTTCCGTGTGTGATTAATGTGAATATGACATACATATGTAGCACCAACATACGTAGTACATATTTTCATAGCACCGTGCACTGTAGTAATAAAATATATATTTCCTCCATTTTTTTTTACTATTGGCAATACTTCCCTAAAATAGAAATGTCACAATACCTGCAACACACTATAACTGGATAGGTTTTTTTTTTTTTTTTTTTTTTTTTTTTTTTTTTTTTTTAATTTTTTTTATTTTATATTTTTTTTTTTTTTATTTTTATGTGAAATTTACACTGCTATCCTTATTAAAAGTGTGTAGTCATATGTGGCACACATTTCTCAATTACCATGAAAAAGTGTGTTGCAACTATTAGAAAATGAAGGAAGTATTATTTTAGAACTTTCGATAATCTCTTTGCTGATTTTGTGGTATTTTATGCTCCATGTCTGACTTGACTGATTTAGTACTATCATGGGTGTAGATAATGGAACAATGTGTTGCAAGGTTGGATGTAGCCATGTTTAATGCTATTCTTCGAGAATCTGCTGATGACATTCCAACTGATCCTGTTTCTGATCCTATTACCTTTCCGAAGGTTCTCCCAGTTCCAGCTGGAAGATCAAGCTTTGGTTCTGGTGCACAGCTTAAAAACGCAGTATGGAGCTTTTCTACTTTATGTATTTTACTATGTTTCTACTTAAAGTAGTTGCTAATAATCTGTATCTGCGGAGTTCTTTCTGTCTGAAAATGGACTCCTATCTAGTTATCAATAGATCCTAGTAGATACTTCAATTTTTTTTACCCCTGACCAGTTCTTTCAGAATAGGCAGCCCTGGACTGATTTGCCTTTCTGGCTTGCATTACTTTACAGATACTGACTTACAACACCCAATTTTGAGCCATTAGGCTACATTTGCCTACTAGTTCAAGCTTGTCAACTTTGACCATTTATTTGTTGCTATAAATGATGAGTTGTGTACTTATTATCTGAAGACGTCTTTGTGATGATATTATTAAAAAGTCTTTTATGGTAAACAAGGGTCAAAGTTGATAAGGTTTGACTGTGGCAGTATAATGTAGCATTTTTCTATTAAATGTAAGGGTACAAATTTTTGACTTTGACAACATGGTTTAAAAAACATTCTCTTTCATGAATATTTGACAGATTGGAAACTGGTCTAGATGGTTATCTGACCTATTTGGCATGGATGATGATGATGCACCAGAAGATGAAAGGGAGGATAGGGAAGATGATGACGGCGAGGGTTTTCAATATGATTCATCCTTCAAATCGTTCTATCTGCTTAAATCATTGAGTGACCTTATGATGCTTCCGAAAGACATGCTACTGAGTGAGTCAATCAGAAGAGAGGTTTGGACTTTTACACTTTTGAAACTATCATATTATTGCAATCCAGCTCTGGCACCTTGGTAATTTCTATCTTTGCAGGTATGCCCTTCATTTGGTGCCCAAGTTATTAAAAGGGTTCTTGAAAATTTTGTTTCTGACGAATTTTGCTCAGACAAAATCCCAGCTGCCGTCCTTGAAGCATTGGATGCTGAGGTTAGCTGAACAAAACATATTTTTTCCTCTCATCTTTTCCCACCTGTTTTATAAATTGGTTGTCAATGCGGGATTACATCGGGGATGTCCCAGTTTCTCATATTGAAATTTGTTTTTCACATGACATTTTCGTAAATAAACCAACTTTATTCAACTTTATTCAATTGTGGAGCTCACTATAATGTAAAAGTTGTTGATTTATTCACGAAAATGCCCCCATGAGAAACAAATTTCATTTCTCACTACGAGAAACAGGGAATCCCGATTACATCTTATAAGGAACAAATTCAGTTAAGTTGGTTAGCTGCAAGAGGCTGCAACACATTCTGAATTCTCGCAGAATGATCTGCAGTTCAACTTGCTAATAATGTTACTTTTTGCAGAGCGTCCATGATGAAGATGAAGGATTTATCATGAATTGTCCTTGCACAGCACCTGCAGTATCCTATTCTCCTCCGACACCATTTTCACTAACCAGTGCACTTGGGGTAAATTTAGGAAGACAAAGCCCATCCCAGTTACGAAGAAGTGGATCAGTGCTTAGAAGGTCAAACACAAGTGATGATGAATTAGATGAACTGGATTCACCATTACAAGCTCTTCTGAGTGAGGGTGTCCAGTCATTTCCTGCTCAAGTAAAAGAAAATCATAAAATGTTGCAAAATCACCAAAACAATGTCATCAGATACCAACTTCTTCGCAAAGTTTGGGATGAAGTAGAATCGTGAATATTATTGCGTATAGCTGTACAGATGTATGAACTGTGTAGCAAGATCCTTTTCCACTCATCAGTTTGTAGGTAAATCCCTGTTTTGACCACTGGAAGATCAGAACACGAAGCACTGTATAAATCAAGGGGTGTAGTATGGAATTTCAATCTTGCTCATCTTAGGCATATTATGGAAACAGAACTGTTATGGTTGACATCATTATTCATTAAGTTTATCATGTTACCACAAGATGTTGTATACTATGTATAATACAGCATTAGTTAGAAGCATGATTAAATTATTTAAGGAATCAAGTTCAATTTAGTAAAAGTAATTTCAGTTCAATAAAAATTAGTAATTTTTAAGAAGATATATAATAGAAAAACAATAAAAATAATTTCAGTTCATCAAAAATAATTCCAGTTAATAAAAACAATTGCTCATAATTCGTTTTCTTTCACAAAGGAAAAAAAAAATTTAGATCAGTTATTTGTTTAGCAATAGAAACGTTCATACTTTCAAAGTCTTCCATTGCTTCAATTTGGTGTATTAGACTTCAGATTGTTGCTGAGTTTCAAATTCCAGCTGCCAAGGAAAATTTGGAATTAGTCCTTCAATTTTCTTCAACTGAAATCTTAGGTTTCATATGGCTAATAATGATTGATTATTCAAACAACGTCATGGCCTGTTTGGATCCAAGTATTTCATTTCAAATTCTGAAATTGGGTCAAATATGTTGTTTGGATAAATTAAGAATTTGGATTTGTATTTGGCCCAAATCCAAGCCTATAATTATATCAGTCATTTTTATGAATTTGAAATTCCACCCTACAATGAGGTAGTCCTACTTAATCAATTTGATAAACAAAATTTGTTTATCAAATGGCAAAATGATAAATAAAACAACGTATATGTCCAGTCATCATGGCATTTTCGTAAATAAATCAACAACAGTGGGACCCAAATTTAATACAAAATTGTTGATTTATTTACAATTTTGCCATTTGATAAACAAATTTTGTTTATCAAATTGATTAGCTGGCATTTGCTGCCTTACAATATGTCATTTCAAATTCCTTTTGGACTAAATTGCTACTGATATATTTTTCTCTCTCCGCTAACTTCTTCTGTTGTTTACGCTGGTTGATTCCTTCGATCAATTTGTCATTGTTCAGGTTACTTTTTTTACTCAATTTTTTTCGATAATCTTTCTTACGAAGTATAACAACTCGAAAATACAGTATTTGATGTAGCTATTTTCTTTGATTTGGGATAAATTTCAAGCTTAAATTCGAAAAATTTAATTTGGGGAAAAAATCTAGGCTTTACAATTTAAGTAAAAGCCTAAATTTCAACAATCAAATTGCATTCTAAAGTCAACATATATACTTCCTCCGTTTTCTTTTGGATGCAACACACACTTTTTCACGATATTTAAGAAATATGGGATTCACATGATATAATACACTTTAAAATGGGATGAGTGGTTGTTAGGAGTGTAATTTAGTGGATCATGTGCTTTAAATAAGGGAAATAGTATAGTTTTTCCCTAAAGTAACTTTCCTTTTATAGTGTGTTGCAAGTATTGTGACATTCCTTTTTAGGGAAGTGTTGCAAGTAAAAGAAAACGGAGGAAGTATTAAAACTATTATGAAATATTTGTGGATATCCATTATCCTCCCTGTATCATTCCGGAATATTCTAGATTTAGGATTTATTGTTATCTAAGCAAACCCTAGTTATATTGTATGTATATATATCCACATTCTATGGAATAATAAAACTGATCTATTCTCTCTTAATCTCTCATATTTTTTTTTCCTTATTTTATAACACGTTATCAGCACCATTGCTCTTGGATCTGAAACAATATTATTGATTCATATGATCAAGAGCATTACTGCTTCTCAAAACTACCCAAACTCCAAAACAACTCTCCTCTCCTTCGACACCCTAACTCACTTTCACTCATAGACTAACAGTCCCGCAGTCCGTGACGGCGTGACGCGTAATCAGGTCGTGGCCTCCGTGCTCCGTTCTCTGTGCTCAACCGATTAGTTTCTGGGTTTATCTGAGGTCAGAGTTCGACAGTATTAAGTTTTGATTTTAAGCAATTTCTAGCATTACCCGTTCTCTGTGCTGTTTAATTTGTTTGTTTTAAATTTATGATGTTGCCCTTTTGATTTTAACACCCACTTAATGTTGCTAGTTGCTCTTTAATTGTTGTTGTTTCATGTGTGAAATCGTTATTTTAATTGTTCAACTAGAGTAAAGTATTGTTCTTGGCATACTGTGTTAGTTTTAGTCCGGAAATTCGAGCTAAGAAACGAGTGGTTGATTGATTATAGTTTATCTGAGGTGGAATATTTGTAAAGAATTGATAACGAAGTTTTAATCATTAATTTTTTTTTGTTATAATATGGTACTCATCCAAGAATTTATTATATCCAAGAAGTTTTAATCATTAATGCTCTGTATTTTGCTTCGTCTTCTGCTTTCGTCTTTCTTCGCTTATCCTATGTCGCTGGTTTTGCGTTAATCGTCTTGCATAATTTGTGATTGGGATCGGGATCCTGTTTAATCCATTCAATTGGTTTGATGATTTTGGGGTTTTTGATCGTTTTCTTTGTTGATTGTTACTGCTTCTTTTGGATTGATCGGTCTAATATTTGCGGGATATTAGTAATGAGAAAATATTGTATGTTTTATTGGGAGTTTTTATACATTATCGAGAATAATACGGTTAACAAAATTTTTTTTTATAGAATTTTTTGAGAAGTGGATGTATCTTTACAGTGTATTAATTAATAAGCAAGCTTGTCATTGAAATGCTTTGAATCAATCATTGCGTGCAAAGACCTTATTGATACATTACTTTTTATAATCCGATTACATACGTATTTCCACAACTTACTTGTCCCAAAATAACGTTTTTGTTTTTTTTAAGGTTTGTGTTTATTATGGTAAATTAAGGTTCATGTTTTGTTATGATAATTGATTAGTAGACTTAATTATGGTCTCATGAACAATAACCTTCTCAAAGTTCAATACGCAAATCTTGTTATAATTACTTACTTGAAATTAGTTATCTTAATTGAAACTTGGAGTATATATATTTATTATACCATCTTAGTTCCTAATTTATAATATTGTTTTATATATCAGTGAATCATGTCAAACCTTGCAAAACTCGAATTTGTTGCTCTTGATATTACTGGAAACAACTATCTGTCTTGGGTGTTAGATGCTGAAATACACTTAGATGCAAAGGGACTTGGTGATACTATTAAAGAAAACAATACTGCAACAAGCCAAGATAAGGCTAAAGATATGATATTCCTTCGTCATCACCTTCATGAAGGCCTTAAGACTGAATACTTGACTATGAAAGACCCACAAGTCCTTTGGAGTAATCTAAAGGACAGGTATGACCACCAGAAAACTGTGATATTACCAAAGGCTCGTTATGACTGGTTACATTTAAGATTACAAGACTTTAAGTCTGTGAGTGAATACAACTCAGCCATGTTTAGAATTACATCACAATTGAAATTATGTGGAGAGAAAATCACGGATGCAGAAATGTTAGAAAAAACATACTCTACTTTTCATGCAAACAATGTTGTCCTGCAGACACAATACCGTGAAAAGGGTTTTACAAAATATTCTGAATTGATATCTTGTCTCCTTGTGGCCGAGCAAAATAATGAACTATTAATGAAAAATCATGAATCTCGTCCAACTAGCTCTACTCCATTCCCTGAAGCGAATGCGACATCCCATAGTGGGAAAGAGAAAAAGGCTAGAGATCACGCCAACAGTCGTGGTCGAGGTCGTGGACGAGGTCGTGGTCGCGGCCGCGGACGTGGACATGATCGTGGTCGAGGTGGTCATTTTAGAAACTCATACTCTCACCAGAAGTGGGACAATAAAGATGGAAATAAGAATGAGAAGGATAAATATGAAAACATATGCTACCGTTGTGGAGGAAAAGGCCATTGGTCTCGTGTGTGTCGCACACCAAAACATCTAGTAGACCTTTATCAACAATCAATCAAACAGAAAGGAAAGAAAGTAGAAACAAATTTGGTGTATGAGGATGGCGAAGGTGATTTTGATTACGGTGATAAAACTCACCTGGAAGCAGCTGATTTCTTTCCTAATTCTGAAGAAAATAATTGAATAAATTATGATACATTGGCGAATAAACACTATTAATTAGCTTGCATTTATTTTAGAATTTTATCGTAGTACTGTGATTTTATGCTTTATGGGACATTTGTTTTTGGATATTTTTATGTTTTCGGATATTTCATTATTATTATTATCAGTCATTTATTAATTTAAGTTATTTGGTTTAGTGAATCTTATTTTAGTTCCTTTAATTCTATTAGAATATTAATTTGAGAATTTTTAGTATAAAGGTTCATATAATTGGGAAAGAGGAACGAATATGAGTCTTATAAGAATTATTTTACTTTGCTATACATACATTGATAAAAGAATTTGTGACTTAAAAGGTGAAAGAGATTTAAAGGTAGTTGGATTAATTTAATGCCCCCACATGCAAGGATTAGGGGGAGATAGTATTTATATCATTATTTTATGTAATCCTTGCACATAAATAATAAAATATATTGATGGTCAGTTTGGTACATACATTAACTTAAATATTAATGTTTTAATTAATAAAAGTGGTCACATGTTAATTAATATATTTCAAAATGATACCATCCTGAAGATGGATATGAATAGATGCCATTAGCTATATACCTTTATAAGTTGCTAATGAACCTAAAGCACGCCTGAAGCGTGGTATCCGTAGCCGAGCCCAATAGATTCCAAAGATAAGAATATTCAAACAGGAAAAGAGCAATTATTGACAATAGTAAATTTGAGGAAGTAATACGTTTTGATAGACCTTTATAAGAGATTATATTTAGTAAAATGGATATGTACCATGATTATATAGAGTACTCTAGAAGAGTATAGAATTATCCAACAAGCTTAGCATGTATCAAGATTATAGTCAAAGCTCTAGCAGAGTATAAAATTTTGGATCAAGTATTAGTTGATTGTCTTGCCAATTATATAAAGAAACACATTTTGGTGTTCTAATATCACATCATATTATGTCTCATAAAGTGATCACCTGGAAAACTAACCGTAATATAAATTTAGATAAATGATTGGATGTGATAATTAAATTAGGCCATCCGGGTTCAATAAATACCCGTTATAGAAACCTG